CTGCGTGGTCCCCTGCCTGTCCTCCCGTCTGAGCGCTCGGTGACTCCCTCTGAACACAAGGGCTGACACTGCACACAGTGAAGGTTCCCCTGTCACTGTTACACCCTCCCCACCGGCTGGAAGAGGCACAAAACGAGCTCCTGCCCTTTCCCCTGGGTCAGGATGGAGCCCAGCACACAGAGGGGGTGACAGTCACCCCGAGTCACACAGGACATGACTGGCCCAGACCATCCCCTCTCTGCTGGTTGTACTGGGACAGAATCACTCCTGAGTGTCCCTGGTCGGTGTGAGAGCAGCTGGGTGAGGAGCTGCTGCAGCAGGTGCTGTGCAGGCTGTGACTCCTGCTTCTGGGCTCCCCAGGAAGCTGAATTTGCTGCCTCCCATGAATTCCTGAGGACAGGATAAGTCAAGGTTATCTAAATCCTTTTCAAGGATTTTAATTTGAGGGATGGATTAAAACATCAGCTCTGAGCTACAAAAGCCTGCTGCCACAAGCAGTCAGTAATGAGAGCTTCAAACCAGAGAGCAATAATGCAGCTTGAGAAATCCTAGTGTTGTTCTGTGCTAAGTAACAGGATTGATTTTTGGAAGGTCGTGTTCTTCCCCATTCAGGATCCTGATTCACTTTCATGTGTCCTCTGCTTCTGCCTGAGAACAGCAGCAGATTTATCCCTGGAAAAACTGTTTTCCAAAAGAATTTTTCTGTGTTTTCCCCAGGTCCTTTTTTTTGTATAAGGAACCACTTGCAAGAAAGCAAACGACCTTCCAGAGGGCAAAGATGCCCCTGGCATCTGGCTGGGAACCTGTTAAAGCATCCAGGATGTTTCCTCTTCCAGTGCCACCCTGGGGAACCGTTTCAGCCTCAGTTTTGCAGTGTCAGGGTGGAGGAGGCAGGAGGGGGGTCCCCATGGCTGGGGGGGGCTTTGCTTTCCCTGGCCCCCCAGGAAATCCCCAGTGCTGGGAGCTGAGCAGTGGGGCAGACAGCTTCCCCTGGGAGGTGCTCCAGCACAGGTGGGCATCCCCAGGGCAAGTCCTCCCCCATGCCAAAGGACCCTCTGCCCGTGGGTCACACAGGCTGGCCCCAGGGCTGGCTGGGGAAGCTGCAGACCTCAGCTTCTGGGGCAAATAAATGTTCTATATCCTGTCACCCTGGATAACTTTGGCTCATACCTGCCCGAGAGCTGTGGCAGAGTCGTTGGCCTTCTCAGCTGTCTCTGCAGGTATTCAGGTCTGACAGCACAGGAAGCTCTTTTAGGCCAAGGGTTAAAGTATTTAGGGAAAAAAAAAAACCAACACACAAAACAACAACAAAAAAAAACCAACTAATTAACTTTGGCAGGAAAATTCTTGTTTCATTTGGATTCTGGGAGTCCCCTTTGCAGCTGCTATGCTGTGGCAGTTTAGCATGACAAGGGCTATTAGCAAAACCTCTTTATTCTTCTTGCCAAGAAATAAATTCCTTTTTGTTGAAGCCAAACGTGGTCCAGGTCAAACTCTCAGCTGGTGCAAATCAGTGGAGCTTCACTGAGTCCAAGGAAGTGCAGCAGGAGACCCTGCCTGGGCTCCCTGCCCTGCTCCTCCAGGAGCTGTCAGGGAATTTGAGCTGGATTGAAGATAATGTTTGTTATAAAATTAGGAGAATCCTAGAAAATATTCTGCTAGAGAAAAGCTTTTAGTGATGGCTCAGTTCCATCTGTTCTACAGTAAGTGGCTGGGTTTGACAGTCAGGATGTTGGTTTTTACAATTAAAATTAATGGAAACTTTTGGTGCCAATTTCCACCTCAGGTTCCCTGGGCGGGAGGAGCTCCTGGGCACCCTTGGCCTGTTCCTACAGGAAAGTGAAGCAGGGCACAGCCCCAGAGCTACTGCTTCTTGCTCATTCTGCTCCCTGCTGAGCCCCGGGGCAGTGCTGCAGCAAGATATTCTGCTCCAGGGATGATCCATTTTGCCTGATGTCTCCCAGAAGAGGTCAGAAACATGAGCAGGCAGCCCTGCCCTGGCTGCAGCTCTGCCTCTGGCACAGCTGGGTGAGGGGAGGCTCTGCTTCCCGGGGGCTGGGGAGCACTTCAAGGCAACAGAGCAGCCACTGCAAGCCTGGACTTGGTCAAAGGCTTTAGGTTTAGCTGATGTGTGTTTCCTCCAGAGAAGGGGCTGGAAAGGGAACTGGGAGAAAGGTGAAGGGCAGAGTTGGGTGTTTCGTTTTCTACCCAGGGACAGGCCTGGGCAGGTGCTTGAGCATCTCCAGAGCTGGTGAGTCAGACACTTCTCTTGCTCAGGTGATGGCTCAACCTATCCTTCCAGAGGCACAGTCAGTCCTCACAGAACCCCAGACTGGTTTGGGTTGGAAGGGACCTTAAAGATCATCCAGTCCCACTCCTTGCATGGCAGGGACACCTCCCAGCAGCCCAGGCTGCTCCAAGCCCCATCCAACCTGCCCTTCAACACTGCCAGGGATGGGGCAGCCACAGCTTCTCTGGGAAACTTGATCCTATGTCTCACCACCCTCAAACTAAAGAATTTCCTCCTAATGTCTAATTCAAATCCCCCCACCCCAGCCATTCCCCATCATCCCAAAGCTACATGGTGCAGTGAACCCCTTGCCCTTGGACTCTGCTGGTGCCAGTGCTCCCATAGTCACATCCCTGCTCCAAACTCCTTTTCCCAGGCTGCCAGTCCTGGTTTGCACACAGGTAGAAGCCAGACAAACACTAGGGGATGGATTTTATGCAGGGGACAGGAATGAATCCAAACATTCAGTCCTCCCACCCTGCAGACCATAGTGATGTGTCTGCACTCGTGTTTTGGTCACAGCCTGGGGACGTTGCTCCCTTCTGCTACCCTCCAGGATGTTGCATCTAGGTGACAATCCATAAATCACCCTGGGACTTGGTCAAAGGCTTTAGGTTTAGCTGATGTGTGTTTCCTCCAGAGAAGGGGCTGGAAAGGGAACTGGGAGAAAGGTGAAGGGCAGAGTTGGGTGTTTCGTTTTCTACCCAGGGACAGGCCTGGGCAGGTGCTTGAGCATCTCCAGAGCTGGTGAGTCAGACACTTCTCTTGCTCAGGTGATGGCTCAACCTATCCTTCCAGAGGCACAGTCAGTCCTCACAGAACCCCAGACTGGTTTGGGTTGGAAGGGACCTTAAAGATCATCCAGTCCCACTCCTTGCATGGCAGGGACACCTCCCAGCAGCCCAGGCTGCTCCAAGCCCCATCCAACCTGCCCTTCAACACTGCCAGGGATGGGGCAGCCACAGCTTCTCTGGGAAACTTGATCCTATGTCTCACCACCCTCAAACTAAAGAATTTCCTCCTAATGTCTAATTCAAATCCCCCCACCCCAGCCATTCCCCATCATCCCAAAGCTACATGGTGCAGTGAACCCCTTGCCCTTGGACTCTGCTGGTGCCAGTGCTCCCATAGTCACATCCCTGCTCCAAACTCCTTTTCCCAGGCTGCCAGTCCTGGTTTGCACACAGGTAGAAGCCAGACAAACACTAGGGGATGGATTTTATGCAGGGGACAGGAATGAATCCAAACATTCAGTCCTCCCACCCTGCAGACCATAGTGATGTGTCTGCACTCGTGTTTTGGTCACAGCCTGGGGACGTTGCTCCCTTCTGCTACACTCCAGGATGTGGCATCTAGGTGACAATCCATAAATCACCCTGGGGACAGGCAGGAGGAGATGGACAGAGAGGCAGTGTGTCTGACTCTTCCCACATAGAATTCCTTGATAGCATCTAATGCTCCAGCTCCAGAGACCTCAGGGTTCCTGTGTCTCCACCTGCTGCTGCTGGGAGCAACTGACTCAGCTGATGACTGCAGGATTACTGCTCCCTGCAAAACCCAAGGTCAAAAAAACAGGAGGAAATCTGGAGCATAATAACCACCCCCAAGACAGGGCAGAGCACAGCCCCACCACAGAGCACTGGAGTCCTTCTGCAGCTCTCTGTGTGCTTCCAGGGGGGCAATGAGGTGGGGGAGATACACATTTCCCCTTGATCCTGTTTCTCTGGAGCAGGACAGGAGGGAAGTGTTGAGCATGTCCTTTCCAGGGCAGCTCCAAGGGCTCACAGCCAGCTCCACTGATCACAGGTCCTCCTGTCCCCATCCCAGCTGGTGTCACCTCCACAGGTGACACATCCTTTCACCCTGCACGTTAATGGCAGAGGTAAGTGCTGAGGACTTCTTCTCATCTTCCACCCAAAAGGAAATGAAATATCCCTGCTTCCTGGAGCTGCGTCTGGAAGGGCCTGGGGGAGCCCTGTCATCAGAGATTTTTCCTTGGCTTTTGGAGGCACCCCTGGGTTTGGCAGCTGGAGGTGCAGGTTCAGTGCAGGGCTGTTTGCAGAAGGCACACACTCCCACGTGCATAAACACAGAATCAGTTGCATTTATAGAAATGTACCAAAAAAAAAAAAAAAAGAGAGAAGCCTCCCTCAGCTTCCCATTCCCAACCCCCTCAGCAGCCCAAACACTGGGCTGGAGCAGGAGCAGAGGCTGCAGCTCCTGCCCTCCCTGAGCTGTCACCTCCTGGGCAGGGCACTGGAGCCATCCTGGGCTGGATCTGGTCCCATCCATCAGGCACAACATCCCTCCTGCTCTGCCCCATGAAGCCTCAGGGAGCAGAAGTATTTTAAAAGTGGGAGTAATCCCTAAATGAGTAAAATGGCAAAAGATAGTTTACCAATCTAGCCTCTTCCTCTTCATCATCCAACATGGTGATACAGAGAAGCCAGAAGAACAAGTCCTTCAAGCATTTGTTAAAAGGAAAAAAATAACCCCAGTTTCCTGGCCAAACTTCCAAAGGCCCAAGGCTTGCAGGTCACCCCAGGCTAATGCTGGTAAACTGTGCAAAAGTGCTGGAGCAGAGAGGTAGGACACAAAGCTCCTCAAATGCCAACATCAGACATCCCCGTCGCCTTGGACCCTCTGTGCTGCTGGTGCTCCCTGCTGTGGGAAGTGCTTTGCTTCAGCCCCTGCAAACTCATCACATCTCTCAGATCCCGGGAGCAGAGGCAGCCCCACTTAACCTGCAGGAAAAAAACCAAAGGCTGGAGAGGGATTGTCTGGGCTCTCACAGTCCCAGACTACAACTTGGGCTGAGCATCAATCTCTGGGATTATTCTGGTGTCTCTTGGGATTAGCTCTTGATATCATAAACACACCCAGACCCCTCCTACTCCCTTAGTCACAGTGCACATCCTGCAACAACACAGTTGGTGCTGTAAAAACAGGACTGGGGTGAATCACCCATTGTTTTGTTTTAAACTCCGATATGAAACTCTTTGACAAGATCTGCATATTCATGTTGTCGATTTGCATGAAGATCCTCAAAAAAAATAAAGGTTGTAAAGGAAGAAACCCAGGGGGACTTCCCAGCAGTGGGAGGCTGGGTCTTGCACGGAGTTTCATTCAGACATAGAAAGGGTCTCCTCCATGGCAGCCAGCAGCTGCCAGTGTGGGGAAGCAGAGGAAAAAGGCTAGAAAGTGTGTGTAGGTGTGACCCAGCATTTGCAGATCACACTCAGACTTCCAGGAAAGAGAAGCCAGACCATGATGTGAACTTGGTGCTGTTAAAACCCCACGTGAATCATCCCCCGGGTAGCTGTGCTCCTGCTCAGCATGGCTCCTCTTGCTGGATCATTGCTGGGCTCCCAGGGAGCACACCCAGACCCAGCCCCCCTTCCCAGGGCAGTCGGGGCAGTTCCTGGGGTTTGGGGCAGGAATCACCATCCCTGGGGCTCCTACTCACCGCTCGATGATGCTGTTGTTGAGCTGGAGATCACACGTTACTGACCTCATCTGCTCCAGGAGCTCCTGCATCCTGCCAGGGACACAACCAGCCCCTTATCCCGGTGCTGCTCAGCCCTCTGCTCCCTGCAGGAGCTGTGTCTGAGCTGGCAGGGACACCCCTGGGGTCACCAAGTGTCTGCAAACCCCTCCTGCCAAAGGCTCACCGAAAAGCCATCTCCTGCCGGGCTGGGCTCAGATGGACGGGTGAAGGTGTGGGAGGAACTGGGGCCAAACTCTGCTTCTCTGTCTGGAGAAACCTGTCCGGGGCCTGCAGAGAAGGAGAGACATCAAATCATAGAATATGCTGAGTTGGAAGGGACCCATCAGGATCATGGAGTCCAACTCCTGTCCCTGAGTAGGGCACCCCAAGAATCACACCCTGGGCCTGAGAGCATCATCCAAAGGCTTCTTGAGCTCAGGCAGCCTTGGTGCTGTGACCACTGCCCCGGGGAGCTGGTTCCAGTGCCAAGCAGCCCTCAGGACCAGGGCTGCCCCTGCCAAAGGCTCCACCATTCCTTGCTCCATACAGTGGGGGGAAAGCAAGACTTCCAGCATGGGTCACTCACAAAGACCAGCAGCAAGTGCTTTAAAAACACTCGCATGTCTCCCTGCTTCATGGAGGGGCTGGGTGGTGGGAGAAGCTTCCCACAGGCTGGTGCACTCAGTGGGTGCTGGGAGAGGGGAGCAGCAGCATCCCCAGGAGCAGGGACAGGCTGAGTGGCACCCAGGGGCACCTACCCTCTGCAGGCAGTCCTGGCACTCTATCACCTCCACGCTGCAGGCACTGATGTGGTTGCTGAGCCTCTTCAAGTGCTTCTTTATCTCACAAACTTTCCTAGGAGGAAGAACAACGACAAAATTCCCAGTCCGTGCTCAGCAGCAGGTTGGATATTGGTATTTTTTTGTGCTTTAATTCTGTGCTGCTTTCTGCAGACCTTTCAGGATGGGAGTTAAAGTCCTGAAGGAAAGCAACAGAGTCACTGCAGTGTGGGGGTCAGGGCTGCAGCTCATCTAGCAGCCACAGCAGGTGAGGTCTTCCAAACAACCCTAATATCCAATTAACTAGGGAAAGTGTTGGTTAAACGAGAGACAGCTCAAGCCCATCAGTTCTGCCCTCAGTGCTGCACAGGCTGGTCCTGTGCCCTGTGCAGGACTGAGCATCTGCTCAAAAAGGCTCCCGGGGTTTGTATTTTTGGTTTTCCACACTCTCCTTTCAATCTGAAGCACATGAAGGCCAGAGAAGTTCCCCCTCAAACACACCCTGGGGCCAATCTCTGCAGGCAGCTCCAATGACACTGAAGGCCCAAATCTGTGGCATCTTGGTGGGACTGAGCTGGCCAGGACCATGTCACCAGTGTCCCCTCTGCTCTGCCCCAGCCTTGGGAGTAAATCCTTCTCTCCTTCTTTGGGGGACCAACTGCCCTGTTGCTGCCTGGGTGAGAGGCCCTGGTTCCAGGCAGCCAGCAGGCACAGCATGAGCTGGATAAAATAAGGTTTGGTTTGGCTTAAAAAAAAAAAAAAAAGAAAGAAAGAAATGGGGGGGAGGAAAGAATATTTAAGGTGAACAATCCACCTCCAGTCCCCAGAAAAACAGCCACCACACCACAAACCCTGGCTGCCAGCAGGAAGAAATTCAAAACAGGGCAATTAAAACTGAAGTAAGAATAAATTAAAAATATCCAGTTGTGACTCACGATGCCTTCACCCTAAGGACAGAAAAACAGATACAAAAATACTTTGGAAAAACACCAAGAAGCTTTTTTTTTCCTCCCGGTGAGCAAAGGTAAAAGCCCTGTTGGAGTGGAGAGCAAACCAGCTCTGGAGCTGCAGAGAGGGCAGAGGAGCTGGGCAGAGAGGGCTCTGTGCCCAGAGAGGGATCTTGCCTGGAGCCAAAATTCCCACTGAAGCCAAGGAGACAGCAGCTTCTGTCCCCAAAGTGAAACCTGCCTGTGGGTGAGGGTCTGCAGTGTGAAACCCCCTGGCTGCACAAGCTGAGGCTGGACAGAGGAGGGTGCAGAGACCAGGCAGCCCTGCCCACTGCTGCTCTGGCATTCCTCAGGTCTGAGACAACCTGCCAGCCTAAACCTCCCCCCAGTAAATCCTGTGCAGGCCTAAAGGTCAAAACCCAGGTTTAATTCCAAGGCACTACAGAAAATCATTCTCCTCCTGTCCACGCTGGCAGCCCAGGAGGATGGATGTTCCTCTCTAAAAGCCACCTGGCCAAAAAAATCCTGCAACATCCTCTTCCCCAAACTGCCTGCAACCCCCTCAGCCTGCTCTGTGCTGTCGTGACAGGCAGTGGGTTGAGCTCAGTCAGTGCCTGGCAATTTGCTCTTTGCTCTATTCCCCAAACCCCATTTAACAGAGAACCATTCCTAATATGTAGATCTCTCTGTCTCAATAGCAAGTTTATCCTGATCAAATAAGCTCTCCCTGTCAGAGCAGGAGGGAACCAGCTGCAAGTCTGGGGAACTTTTTAAACAAACAAACAAACACCTTAAAACAATGGGGCAGAGATACATGGCATGGGATGAGAACAACATCCAGAGCAGGATTTCTAGAAGTCACACAGTGAGTGTGTGAAGCCCTGGTCACTGGTGGGTTACTGGGATGTCCCCTCTGCCACTCCCCTGGGGTCCCTTAGGGGCTGGTACCTCATCCTGCTGCCGTGGAGGGTCAGAGCCTCCTGGTACTGCTGGACACAGTCATCCTGGAAAATCAACAGAACCTTCCTGGCCAGATGCCCTAAATTCACCCTACAACCAGAAAGAAAGGGAGAACACTGTTATTTCCATAAATGTATGAAAACTAACATCACAGTTCATGTGGTAGGAGCCCTACACCTGGGTCCCAAATGGAGAGAGAGGGACTGGATGTGCAGGAAGTAATTTTGTGCTTGTGTTATAAAGAAAACCAAACCAAATTGTTATGAAGAGGAGAGGGAGGTTTCAGGGGTTGGGGTCACACAGCCAGGCTGTCCCCCAGCACCCCTGGGAACTGCAGAGAAGTCTTTGCCCTGGAGTTTAAGGCAAATGTCCAAGGTTGGAGAGGAGACTGATGAAGATACAGGCACTGCCTGTGACATGTTCCCTGGGACATGCTGCAGTGTGGGCTTTATTTCTTGCCCAGGTTAAACTTCCCTGGCTTCATGGAACTGACAGGAGGATTCTTGCAGGTACAAAAGCCACCACTTTGCTCTCACTGCAAGTTAAGCAGCTAAGAAAGCACAGACACTTCCTACAGCAGCATCTCGGGGAACAAAGGGCCACAAACTCAGTCAGTGGGAGCAAGAACCAAAAATGTGCTTATCCTACAGTTCCAGGCTGGGATCTCAGCTCCCTGGCCCCAGGTCTGCAGAGATTCCCTCACACCTTCAGCTGAAACAGCCTGTAGCTCAGAAACTCAGCTGGGAAAGGTCCTGTATCCATGAACCACCTCAGAAGCTGCTCTAGAGGTGCCCTGTCCCAGCCTTAGTGACCCAGGAACATTTTACATCCCCTTAGGATTCAATCAGAAGCACCAACCACCTGCCTGGCCACAGCACAGAGGGGGAGAGGGTTGGGACTTACTTATCCAGCTTGTGTATTTGCTCCTCGTTGTAGCCCAGTCCTGGGGAGGGAAGACACAGCTCATCACACCTTTATTGTGTGTGTGTTAATAACCCAAGCAACGGGCAATTTCACAGCACAGGAAGATCACTCCAGGGGCTCTGCAGGGCTGCAGCCCCCGGGGTAACTCATGGCACAGAAATCACTGCTAAACCCAGCAAACTGAAATAATTAATTTTCCTACTGGGCCATCACAGGGACATTCCTGAGCAGCCTGGTGTCCCCAGGGCCACCACCCCCACCACTTACGCAGGCACGTCCTGGCCTTCTTGAACTGCTTGTGGATCAGCTGCATCTTCTCCAGGCAGCACTCGATCTGCTGGATGCTGGAACCAGGGCAGGGAAGGAGGGAAGGGGGTGAGGTTGGGGTGAAAGCAGCACTTTGGGGTGAAATCCAAACATGTTGTGCCGAGGGAACACCACTGCTACCCACGTGTGTGTGTGGGGGGACATCACACGTGTGTGCACAGGGCTATCCAAAGCTGTTTGCAACAAGGGGCTGTTTGTGAGCAATCAGACATGGCTGCTGAACCCAGCTGAGGGCAGGGAAGCCTTGCAGGGATTTTGGTAGGGTTGGAGCTACAGACCTTTTGTCTTCAAGCACCTGCTGTCTGTCCTTCACCACCTCAGACAGGATGCTGTCCAGCGCCCCTTGGAAGTCAGAAATGTTGTGGGAGCACTGGGAGAGCTCCTCAGCCACCTGGGGATGGGGAGGAGAGGTTGGGACTGGTCTCTCCCAACTCTGCCCATCCCAGGGGATGCTCCCAGCTCCACATGGAGCGCGTGGGGGGGGGGGAGGGGGCTCCCCCTCTGCAGCCTTGTCTTCACGGCAGCCAAGTCCTTCAGGGCTGGCACCCCTGCAGGAACAGCCTCGTACCTGGAGGAGGGCAGAAAATGAATATTCCTCGAGCAGAAGCCAAGCCAGAGGCAGCCTGGGCAAAGCCAGTCCCTCCCCTGCTGGAGGCAGCAGCCCTGAGGATGCCAGGCTGTGGTTTGCTCGGGCAATAACTCCCTGCTCAGGCTGTGGGCTCTGAGCCACAAGATGCAAAGTGCTGATCCGGTAAAAACTCGCCCTGCTGCATCCAATTTGTCCCCAAATCGCTCACTTTATGCCCACTGGCTTTAGGCCAGCTCAGCTGCTGCCTGCCTCCCACAGCTGGCAGCAGAGTGTGGCACTGAGCACTGCCCATGGGCAACAGCAGCAGCAACAGGCCTGGTCCCAACCCTGCTGGAAGGGCTGGATAAGCCTGGAGCATCCAGCTGCAGCATCAGTGCTCTTGGCACCACAGCCTGGCACTAATCCAGCTGCAGGCCATGGGAACCACGTGTCCCTGTCTTTTTAGATGCAATGGGAATTAAGAAAGTGGCTAAATTGAAAAGAATAAAAGGAGAGCAACTCAGCAGTGAAGAATTTTCCACTACAATGACAACAAAATAGAGAAGCGAAATAATCGTGGGTTACTTTAGAGAAAATGGGTTCAGCTTTCCCTGGGGCAGTGCAGTGGGAATGTGGACATGGGTTATGGTGAGGACAGCCCAGGGTTTCTCCATAATTCAGCCTCTGGTGAATGCTCCTCCAGTGGAGCCTCTTGAATGGAAAGAGGAGACCCCTGGTCACGGCTGGTGTGACCTGGCAGGATGATCCTGGACGGCTGGGAATGCAGCAGGAAGGGCTGCCCTGCCCTGTGCTTCCCAAGGCTGTTTGCAGGGAGCAGTCAGGGATGGCAGGCAGAGCCCCCAGGGGCCCCAGCAGCTGGTGCCATCCTGCCTGGTGTTTCCACCCTGGGGCAGCAGCGCCTCTTCCTCCCTTTCCCAGGAGCTGGCAGCCCTGCCTCCTTCTCACTGCAGCTCAGGGGCTGGAACAGTCTGAAAACCCTGGAGCAGAAGCCAGGGAGCAAGGACTAATTCTGGGCTCCCATAAAACCTGGGACTGATCCTTAAAAACTAAAGCAAAGAGGGAGAAACTCCCAGGACCTCTCACTTCCAGCAGCCCCTACATACAGCGAAAAACCCTCTTTACCTCCCAGCTGATCTCTAGGACTTATTTCGGATGATTCAGGCACCTGGAAAGCCCCCGCATCTTATCTGCAGCAGCCTCAGGGCAGCGTCGGTGCCTGCCCAGCCCATCCCAGCCCATCCCCTGCACCCCCCGGGCTGCAAAGCCAGACTTACAGCCCGCGGGTCTTGCCCTCGCTGAGCTGCAGCCCCGCCAGCACCGCCGCCCCGCGCCGCTGCTCCCGCACCCGCGAGCACTCGCTCCTCAGCGTCCCTCTGCGGGGGGAGAAAACAGCCCTTCCCATCCCTGCTCCTCCTCGGCAGCCCCCACCTCCAGCCCGCCTGCGTGAGGATGGAGCTGCTGCCTCCTCTCTGGTTGCTTCAAAGTGGGGCTGGGTGGGGGAGAAAGTGGGTGCAGCTCCTGCGCGGGGGGGTACCCGCCTGCTGGGTACTGTCCTGCCACTGCACAAGGAGCTCCTGTCCCGGAGGAAACGGGTAGGGCAGGGAAAATGTGCAATAATGGTGGTAGTAGTAATAATAATCATGATAGGAAACCAGTAGGACAGTGAAAATGCACCATTATACTACTAGTAGTAACTACAATAGTAGTAGCAATAATAATTATAACAGGAAACCAGTAGAACAGTGAAAATGCACCATTATAATACTACTAGTAGTAACTACAATAGTAGTAGCAATAATAATTATAACAGGAAACCAGTAGGGCAGTGAAAATGCACCATTATAATACTACTAGTAGTAACTACAATAGTAGTAGCAATAGTAATTGTAACAGGAAACCAGTAGGGCAGTGAAAATGCACCATTATAATACTACTAGTAGTAACTACAATAGTAGTAGCAATAGTAATTGTAACAGGAAAACAGGACAGTGAAAATGCACAAATATGATACTAGTAGTAATAACTGCTAGTTATTACTAGTAATAATAATTACCTGGAAATAGGTAAAACAGTGAAACTTCACAGTGATAAAATAATAATTTAGCAATTATTAATATGAATGTCAATATTGATGTTGATATTTAATATTAACAGTAGCATTAATTAATTAACATTATTATTAATGCTGCTAATAACGATGCTGCTCTCCACAGCATCTCTAAACTGAAGAAGGTGACCCAAAATCCTGGGGACAGGAGCATCCTCACTGCTCTGAGCAGTGTTTGCCCACAGGCCCAGCCCTGGCAGGACCCACCAGGGGGGCTCCCTCCCAGGACCCACCAGAAAAGGCTTGGAAAACCCCGAGCAGTTTAACCCTGAGCACACCAAGCTCCTGGCACTGGGAGGGGACAGGTGACACCCCC